ATAAAAACCCTAAAGCGGAAGTGCAGATCAGGTCAAAGTTCCAAAAGTAATCCCAAAAGCCTGCGCAAATAAGAAGATATTTGCCTTGTGCCAAACAACTACAACAAAACAAACTTTCTAAATATTAGGGGCATCAAACATTCCTTGTAAGTCGGACTTGGATAGCAAGGGGGTGAAATTCTGATAAATAAAGACCTAATCTGAGAAAATCTCAAAAATTCTTAGGAATAAAGTCCTGAGAATGCAGTGTGATATAGAGGTTATAGTGCTGGACTAAGACATGGCAGACAAAGTCCCACTCAGCCATGAAGTTCACTGGGTGACCTTGGACAACTCACTAATTATTAGGCAAGTCTGCTTTGCAGGCTTGTTAGGAAGATAATAAGGAGCAGTGTACACACCCACCTGAGCTCCTTAGAGGAAAATTGGGATATGATGCAATAATAATTACAGTGCTACCTCAGGTTAAGAACTTGAAAATTCATTTTATCATGCCATACTGTAAACATTAAGGACTCCAATAATTGGGCTCAGCAGCAAGTAGATATCCAATCTCACATTGACTGATGTGCCTTCTAAATAAATGCTTCAAGGGCATCTTTTGTTAAACTACTGCTAATTGTCATTCCACTTTGCCCCATGGTGCCAAATGTTTTCTTTGAGATAACAGAGAAGAAGCAAGAGTCAAGTTCTAGAAAGTCACTAAGTCCGGCCTTTCTGGGAAAGGCAGAAGCTCCCCTTACCCCTCTCTCCCCATGAAAAAAGTCACCCAGCACTTTGTTTGACACTTTACTGTTTACTATCTTTGAGATAGTTCCCATTTAATGGTTCAATTACTGCACCGGGTGATAAGGCAGTATCAAGAACTTTAGGCACAACATTTTTCTCCCCAAGCATTTTATGATAAAGCAAATACAAAGGGCACAAACCAGCTAAGGTTAAGTGTTTTCTGTTTTTGTTTTCTCATCCCACCGGTTTCTGTGGGAGACACTTAAGCACATGCTTAAGCTACTCCTTTAAATCAACGGGGTTTAAAACTGCTTTGTTTGAGTTGGATCACAGTGAAAATATTTTGCATACAGTTCTTTATTCAAGACAGATAAGAAGGTATATGTTATTTTTCTATTATTATTAAAATTACAAGATGCACGCAGAGAAAAAACTTTAAAGTATAGAAATATGATGATGATGATGATATATTATTTATACCCCGCCCATCTGGCTGGGTTTCCTCAGACATTCAGGGAGGCTCCCAACAGAATATTAATAAATATGAACTAAGGAAGAACATATCATTTTTTCATTAATGCAATGGCGAATGCACATCTGGTCTTGCACAGCAGTTAGGAGGTTGAAGTATTGGATCTCGGTCACTCACCAGCTCACAGGATTTATTTATTATTATTTTTTAACATTAATTTTTTATTGATTTTCAACAAGAGTACATTCATATACATTTGTTATACAAATAAGTCTCATATAGAACCTTAGCTCTGCCAAGCTTCAGACTTCCCTTCACCCCTTCAGTAAGTATCATATATTTTCATTATATTGAGTATTTTGTTCGTTTATCTAATTAGCCATATGCTGTTGAAGTTAATCAAACCCTGCCAGTGTCTTAAAGATTTACAATTGTCTCTTATATACACCAAATATTTACTCCAATTTTCATAAAACTTCTGAGCTTCCTGATCTCGTAGTCTCCCTGATAGTCTAGCCAGTTCCGCACAGTTTATCAATTTAACCTGCCAATCCATAATAGTTGGTATTACATCTGTCTTCCAGTTCTGGGCCAACAGAGTCCTTGCTGCCGTCATGGCATACAAAAATAGATTTTTATCTTTTTTTTAAACCTCCTTTCCAACTAATCCCAATAGAAAGGCTTCGGGTTTTTTTTTGGAAAAGTATACTTAATTTTTTTTTTTAAGTTCATTGTAAATTAGTTCCCAAAAGCCCTTCACCTTCCCACATCTCCACCACAGCTCACAGGATTATTTTGAGGGCAAAAATGAGGAGTTGTCATATATTCTGCCCTGAGTTTCTTGGAGTATGGCTGGGATATAAATGCAATTTATAGAGATGGTGGTTGGTTGGTTGGTTGGTTGGTTGGTTGGTTGGTTGGATGAAGGAATAGAAGGACATTTTGAGTGCAATCCTATGGTCCCTAAGAGGGCCTCCTGGGAGACATAGGATACTGTGGAGCTTTCTTTCCTCAGAGAGGAAGTGGCAGCTCCTCTGCCATGAACTCTCGCCACCTTGACCTCCATGGGATTGCTCCTCCCATTATTATTGTTTCTTATTTACAAATGACGCGGGTGGCGCTGTGGGACGCGGGTGGCGCTGTGGGTTAAACCACAGAGCCTAGGGCTTGCTGATCAGAAGGTCGACAGTTCGAATCCCCACAACAGGGTGAGCTCCCATTCCTCAGTCCCTGCTCCTGCCAACCTAGCAGTTCGAAAGCACGTCTAAGTGCAAGTAGATAAATAGGTACCGCTCCAGAGGGAAGGGAAAGGGTTTTTCCATGCACTGCTCTGGTTCGCCAGAAGCTGCTTGGTCATGCTGGCCACATGACCTGGAAGCTGTACACCGGCCCCCTCGGCCAATAAAGCAAGATGAGCGCCGCAACCCCAGAGTCGGGCACGACTGGACCTAATGGTCGGGGGTCCCTTTACCTTTACCTATTTACAAATATGTACAATCCCCAGTCAGAAGATCCTCAAACCAGAGAACCGCAAATCAAAGCAAGAACAGTAACACAATGACATAACATGAAAATAAAAACTCATCAACAGAAGTCAACACAGCACCACAGGTAACTAAATCTACTCAGGGTTAAAAAGTCTGCCTGAAAACAAACACTTGTATAGCACAAGAATTTGGTTTAACTTAATGTGTAGAGATGAAACTGTAATGCAGAAATACAGAACATACCAACCATATGCTCTCTGTTGCCCATAGACCATGGGTAGGAAAACTAAGGCCCGGGGGCCGGATCCGGCCCAATCGCCTTCTAAATCTGGCCCGCGGATGGTCCAGGAATCAGTGTGTTTTTACATGAGTAGAATGTGTCCTTTTATTTAAAATGTATCTCTGAGTTATCTGTGGGGCATAGGAATTCGTTCACCCCCCCAAAAAAAATATAGTCCGGCCCCGCACAAGGTCTGAGGGACAGTGGACCGCCCCCTATGAAAAAGTTTGCTAACCCCCGCCATAGACCAACCCCATATGTGGAGTCCTTGCATAAGCAGACCCTTCCTTTCAGAGGACGAAGTTTCGCATGTCCAATGGAAAGCACAGGTATCATTTTTCTGTCCATTAAAGTGAATGGGTGGAGGAGCTCTATGTATGCATGAGAGCACCTACCCCCTGGCATATCCTGCTGGATGGGAAGCCATTGGGCGTTATCATGGCAATCTTTTAATATTTCACTGTTGATATGGCTCTCCTCCTCTTTTTCTCCTTTATCTTTTTATACAATGAATATTCATAACGCATTGTGAGCCATGCTGATATTACAGGTTGTCTTATTAAAAATTTAATAACATTTTAGCAGTGGAAAGGAAATGCTGAAATTATTGAGCGGGGCTATAATATGGCAAAGGGGAATATCTGGATCTTGAGCTGCACCAAACATTTCCATTGATATCAACAACTGCTGCGTATGAAGATCAAAGACAGTATATATGGTATTAATCTGGGGCCTTTGGGAGACCCTTTATGGGGTGTTGCACTAAAAGTCAATATAGGATCTGAAGCAGCAACATATGATCCAGTTTATGCACTATTATGAAATGAGAAAAAAGTGTGTGTGTGTGTGTCATGGCTTTTCTTTCTTTCTAAGTATAGCAATATCCAACTGAGTCAATTATTTACTTAGACAAGGCAGAAACACAGGGTGAGCTCCCCAGAACAATTGTGCTAATGTAGTGAAGGTAAAGGGACCCCTGACTGTTAAGTCCAGTTGTGGACAACTCTGGGGTTGCAGCGCTCATCTCACTTTACTGGCCAAGGGAGCCGGCATACAGCTTTCGGATCATGTGGCCGGCATGACTAAACCACTTCTGGCGAACCAGAGCAGCGCATGGAAACGCCGTTTAACTTCCTGCCGGAGTGGTACCTATTTATCTACTTGCACTTTGACATGCTTTCAAACTGCTAGGTTGGCAGGAGCAGGGACTGAACAATGGAAGCTCACCCCGTCGTGGGAATTCAAACCGCTGACCTTCTGATTGGCAAGCCCTAGGTTCTGTGGTTTAGACCACAGCGCCACCCGCGTCCATGCTAATGTTGTTGGGCCATTAACTGGACCTTTGCTTCAAACGGCCTCGGTCCTTTATACCTGAAGGAGCATCTCCACCCCCATTGTTCAGCCCGGAGACTGAGATCCAGCGCCGAGGGCCTTCTGGCGGTTCCCTCATTGCAAGAAGTGAGGTTACAGGGAACCAGACAGAGGGCCTTCTCGGTAGTGGCGCCCACCCTGTGGAACACCCTCCCTTTAGATGTGAAGGAAATAAGCAGTTATCCTATCTTTAAAAGACATCTGAAGGCAGCCCTGTTTAGGGAAGTTTTCAATGTTTAATGCTGTATGTTTTTAGCATTTGATTGGGACCCGCCCAGAGTGGCTGGGGAGACTCAGCCAGATGGGTGGGGTATAAATAATAAATTATTATTATTATAAACCCTTAGCAGTGAGTCTCCCCAAAGAGCAAAGCCTATTCCCACTATTATCTCTGACTGCCAGACTCAAAAACAAAAACAAACCAGGCCACCAACAAAACCTTTGTGGTGCTACAATAGCCAGAATGTTGCTTATGCCCTCGTCATGGGATGCAGGTAGCCATTGCGAATATCAGACACTACCGCCTGTCGACTCGTGCGTTGACTTTGCACCTTGCTAACTGCTGCAAAATAGTTACATGAGCATATCAGGCAAAATTTTGGCACCACCTAGAATAATTTCCTTGGGGGAGAGACAGAGACTTTTAAAAATGCGTACGTACATTTAGCTGTCAGTTTGTACCCGCCTAGAGGAGGGTCGTGGCCTTCCACGGCATCAAAGCCAGCCGATACTAAGACAAAGTCGGGCTCGAACTCAGAGGCGATGGGCATAATCACAGTCCTGAAGACAAAGAATAGGCAAACGGTTATGAACAAGAGGCTTCATTTAAAACGCACTGATTAGCATGATACCATAATTAGCTGCCATCTAGCTCATCTCCCTCAAAGTTTACTTCCATGTTCATTTTCTCTCTCCCTACTTTCTGCGGATTTTTAATATTATTATTATAAAAAGACCCCCATAATTTGCAGGTACATGCGAGAGCTTCTAACGTTACACCCACATCTGGGCCTGTTTTATCCTTCTGCCTATAAAGGCTGACTCTTCGAGGGAAGTGACTAATGGATTACAAAGAGAACTCTGAAGTCTCAGTGGAAACCTGCATTGCTCCAGTGAGTGAGAACTTGGTGTAAATTTGAACTATAAATTTCTTTGGGGGAAAATGTTTGCTTTTTAAACTTATCCCCATCCTCTTAACATTTTAAAATGTTTGTCAAGATGGGGGGGGCGGGTAACTCTTGTAGAAAGGGTGGGGACACATACAAATTCCCTTAATCAAATTCAGGCCCCGCTGTCAGGCATTTTCTGAGGTCATGCCTGGTAGGAATTTGGCTACCACAAATCAGGAAAAGCACCCCCTGCTGGTTTCAGGAAGAAACTTCGAGGCTTTTCGATTCTCCACTTATTAACTCCTTCATACCCAGTGTTTTATATCAGCCTCTTTGTTTTGGGCCAGCCCTACAAGGGTTAGGTGAAGCAGTTCACTTTGGGCAGTGGAATTAAGGGGAAACTGATTTCTGAATGGGGAGACAAGCCAATTTTTAAAGTGTTGGCCATAGCAAAGGGGAAGAGGTGTCCTTTGGCAGCAAAACGTCTTAGGTTGGCAAGAATTTGGAATCAGTTTGTCAGTGTCAAGGCGAAGGCCTGTCTAAACCAGAAATCTTCACCTTGGTATTGCAAGAGTCTAGCCCTCAGTGACTTGAAAATTCAATGACATATTTAGTAATTCAGCAGGGTGGTCACTTACAAGTCACCCAAAAAAGAGGGATGCCTCAACAGCAACAAAAAAGGACACATATTTGCAGAAAATGTGTATATGTTGATTCATGTATAAATGCAAATTTTTACATAATTACTATTCTCCAAATAGAAATACTCTAAAAGGTCGCACTATAGTGGAAACACTGTGGCCAAGCAGCCTGTAAGACTCAGTCTGCTATAACTGTTGATGGGCTGCCTCAAGGCTCTGGTTCTCCATTCCCAGGACTTGGACCAGACAGCCCTTCAAACAGAGGACTGTCAGCAACATACTTCAATTAGAGGACTGTCCTATGCAGGGGTGTATGAAGGGGGGTTGCAGTCTGCCCCAGGTGTCATCCTTGAGGGGGGTGACAAAATGGCACACCGCGGGGGCAGCATTTACTGTGGGGCCTGGCCTGCAGTGCGCCCGAGCCACGCGTCTCTCCTGGGAGTGAGGCAGTGGCTCGGGGCCCAGCGCTGCCCAAAATGGCAGCTTGGGGCTTGTGTCTGCCAGGTGGACTCTGTGGGCAGCTTGCCAGGCTGCCTACCTAGGCAGATCACTGCGCCACCCCCTGAGCGGATCGCCGCACCACGCCCCCGTGGGTGGCTTGCCCCGCCCCCGCCGCTCTGAGTCCCGGAGCAGCTAGTTATGACCCTGGTCCTATGCAAATTAGGATATATGACAAATTCAGATTGCACCTGAATGGAACTGACTGCAGAACGCCAGCTCCACAGCCTAAGAAGCCACATAGGACAGGACTGTCTGAATCCAAGATCTTCTGGTGGCACTAATGATGCAGGGAAGTAGCCCCATACTCCTGAGCATCCTTATGAGAGCTGATATATTTCAGATGTTATTTAAACACCACTGCTCATCAACAGACAGCTACAAACCACTTCTGGATCATGGAGTTTCACCAAAGAGACAAAATCTAGGACCTTAGGGAAATATAGTGAGCAAGACCAGGCAGTAAGGCAATATTGTGAACAGCAGGTGCAAGGGCAATGTGATAATACTCAAGGCACATCAGAAAGTCATGTCCACAAATTAAATGAGTAAAACTGATTTATGCAGTGTCATCTTTGGAAGTTTCTTTTGCAAAATCTTTGTCCCCCACCCCACTCTTGTGGCTTCCAAATGGACCGTGAAAAAACAGGGTTGGGGAACCTGTCACTCTCCAAAAATTGCTCACATCAGCCCCAACTAGCACAGCTATTGATAAAGGATAATAGGAGTTGTAGTCCAATGATGTCTGAAGGACCATAAGTTCCCCATCCCTGCCATAGAGTTGCATAGGCCTTCTGGAACAGTTTCCTCCTTTCCAAGCAAAGCAGCTCTTCCTGTATTCCAAACTTCTTGCTCAACAACATGTTCTTGGGAGTCTGGAGAGATTCACAAAAGAAACTTTCCCCTGAGTCCTAATACATTCAGTCTGGTGCATTCTGCTGTCTGTAAAGAAGTCACAGGATGGTTTCCAGCCATTGTTAAACCATCTAGCACGCGATCCTTGCTTCTAACACTATGAATGTCAGATGCAAGTCATTCAGGCAGCGAGAGAGGGTTATAAACAAAAACCCAACAACCTTGGAACTTCCCTCACCACTCTGAATTACTCTTATTTATCTTGTATGGGTTTTACAGCACATGGAGCAGAGATGCCTGTGAACTGAAAATCGGGGTGATGCTGCCCCAATTTCAGTGAACATGGATAGAGGGGGACACAGCCATGAGGAGGTGATAGGTCCTATCCTGGCTCCCACCCCTCCCTTGGCCAGGTTCCTGGTTGCTCATCTGCTGTGTCCACCAGTCTATGAATGCTGTTGTTTAATGCCAAATCAGTATGCAATAAGATTTCACTCATCCGTGATTTGATTTTGGATGAGGGTGTTGATCTGGTGTGTATTACTGAGACCTGGGTGGGCAAATTGGGAGGAAATAATCTGACCCAGCTGTACTTGGTACAGATACTTGGTACAGGCTGCAGAGATGGAGGGGGATTTGCTGCGGTTCATCTCCTTCACCTGGAAGCCCCTCTGTTTTGAAGCTGGCTGCCAAGGCCTGCACTTGGTGCCGGGTCAAGTAAACTAGGCTTGTTGCTGGTGTACCATCCAGCCTGCTTCCCAGCAGCTTCTTTGACTGAGTTGGCTGGCCTCAGGTCTGATGTTGGGGGAAACCAGAATGAGAATGACTTCAACATCTGTGTTGAGGACTTCATTGCCTCCATGGGGTTGTCTCAAGTTGTCATCGCCCTGACACACAGGTCAAGGCTTGGTGTTTGCTCTAGATGGAGGAAGGAGTGACCTGTAAATGGGAAGGCTAGATGAGGGGCAAAAAACTGGCCTTGACCCCAGCAAAACTGAGGTGGTGTGCCAAGGTGTTGTTGGTCAATTGACTGCTTTGGATGGGGTCACACTCCTACTTAAGGAGCAGGTTCGTTGCCTGGGGCTGCTCCTGGATCCATCTTGGTCACTAGACTCGCAGGTGACCTCAGTGGCTAGGAGTGCTTTTACCAGCTTCAACTATGGCTATTTCTGGATGGGGTTAACCTGACCACTGTCATCCATGTGCTGGTAGCCTTCAGATAGGATTACAGTAATGTGCTCTATGTGGGGCTGCCCCTGAGGTTGATCCTGTAACTGCAGCTAGTGCAGAATGCCAGGACTTGACTGCTCACTGGACCAGAAGATCACCATCGTATTATGGTGCTGTCAAAACATTTGTGCTGGCTATCAATTAGCTATTGAACTAAGTTCAAGGTGCTGGTACTAGTCTACAGAGCCCTGTACAGCTTGGGGCCAGGATACTTAAAGCAGCATCTTGCCCTTTATATACCCAACTGATTACTGTGCTCTGCAGGATGTCATCTCATAAAGAGGTCCCTTCTGCACAATGTTGGAAATGGGTCTTCAGTGCTCATCTCCCTTCTTGTGTTTCTCACTATTGATAATTTGGTGTCAGCTTCTTGCGAAAGAAGCATGTCTTTTGTTTACATAACTCCATAAAGCAGCATGTACATGAATAATCTACATATTAATTTCAGTAGAAGAATAATCCACAATATATGACTTCAGTTTGGAAAATGGGGGGTGGTATAATGGGGGGGGGACTGAATCACAGTTTATGCCTGATGGACCAAAGCAAATTAGCCAAACCTGGAATTAAAGTTTTGACAATCTGAATAATGCATATCTGTTTAAAAGGGGAAAGACAATGGGATGATCTGATGATGCATTTTAGTTTGGCATTGAGATACACATTTTTCAGAACAGAAGCAACTTAATGGTTATAGCACTGAATCCATTTCCATGGCAATAAGTTCACTTCAAAAATTATTCTCTCTTATAGTTCATGTCTTCTAACTTAATATTATTTTACTCCAACAGCACTCACAAAACTAGTATACCAGCTTGCTATATTAGACATTCTATTCTGCAAAATTACTTCCAGCGTTAACCAAAAGAAATGTAACTTGGGTGGACAAAAACAATATTGTTTAAGCTTAAGATCTCTTCTTCTCCATACCATAGATGCTGAAATCTTGCCTTTGGGATATTTGAGTTGCCCGCACACCTTATCAGAGCTCACCAATCTCAAAGACAGAGTTGAAATGAGTTTCTAAAAGTATCTTTGGTTGTTCACTTGACCGCCTGGTTTTTAATCATTCTCACTGCAGAGCTTTCATAACCAGTCTTTCCCATTGCTCAATAATCTTTCAACTGGAAAGAATTTGAAAGTTGCGTCATGGATTGATTCCTTCTACGAATCAATGTTTTGTGGCTGTCCTTTTTCTTCTGGAAAAGGCTAAGTAGAAAAATGAAGAAGCTGAAAATAATGACATGGAAATTTCTTTCCATTTATAAAGGAATCTCTCTGATCTAAGTCAGGAAGATGTTGACATTAGAGATGGCAGCAGCATCCAGTACTGTTGGCCCTCCCGAGTCTCATCAGAGCTGTGAACTTCTCACTGAAATGATGACACATTTTTCCCAAGACAAAAACATTAAATTGGTACATTCTTTTCAAAACATCTATTTAAAAG